GAGAACCCAGGTTCGAATTCCAGTTGTGCTACATATTTTTATCGAGAGATTGCGATGTTAATTAGTGTTATAACTACTGCCAACTACTGTTGATATAATAATAATAATAATTTTTAAAAAAAGAAGAAAAAAAAACTTTGCCCCGCAGGACACCATCCCGGAATTTCTACGTTTCGTGTGCGTTGCTTACCAGTAATACGTCCAATTCTGCCGTTTAGCCTATCTCCAGCAAATCCTGCTACATGAGCTCCTAAGCTGAACCCGATCAAATGCACACTACTCAATGAGATTCTGTAAACACTCTTGTAAAAAAAAAAAATACAATACAATACTGTAATTCAAAATTAAATACTAAGAATTCAATTGTTTGTTTAATAATACTAAGCCTTTGAACTTTAAACTGTATTTAAATTATCCAATTTATTATATATATCTTTTATTGCAAATACATCATAATAAACCATATACAGTTAAAAAGCCCAATAGCTAACATCACTCTATTTACATACAAAACGAAAAACATACAAAACACGTGGAACAATCAAAATAGGAAAAAGACAAAAGCACACTGCTAAAAGAGAGATCTGGATCGCCTAATTAAACTTACAAGTTTGTTTCCAATGCATCCAGAACAAATCCCCAAATAAAACATTTCTAAGAAAACATCAATGTTACAATGTATAAGGCACAAGGCTCTGGATGTAAAACACTAGAATTTAATTACAAATGATATATTTTTATTTCCAGTACAGGTAATGATACTCAAGGTTCCCACCCTGTTTTTTACCTGAAATTTATTTATCAGGAGATCAATTTCTGCGCCGACAATTCGTGAGTTGCCTACTGCATCGTAGTAGTCCCAGAAATGTTCTCCTGCTCCCTCTTCCCAGTCCACGATGATAACGTTATAGTTGCCTTCAATTAGGAGCAATTGTCTCATTTCTGTTACCCGATCTTTCCAGTTGCTCTGATCAAAACCATGAATAATAAACTTGGTCGGGATCGCTGAATTGAAGCTCGAACTCGATACATCATTTGCTGATAAGGATTCATCTTCTGTTATATATCGACTTTGAATTGTAAATTTAGTTCCAACTTCATCCCTACTCGATGGTAATTTGTTGAATGGAAAGCCATAAGAATCAAAACAACCGAGTTCCCCGTAACATTTTCTAATGGCATAAACTATTAAAATAATACATCGTATAAACCCACAAAATCCATATACATTTGTAAATAAGAATTTCAAAAAGATATTCATAATCTGTTTGAAGACATTCATATTTGCACATGATTTACCTCACAACGTCACATGGCGTGTACGTCACAGGTGTACTTCAACGTATAAAAATGTAAATAATTCATGTTCATGAACCAAAATGTTGTGTCAAAAACGTGTAAAACAAGTTCTCAATGTCTTATACAGTATACCAATTCACGTGAAATTTTGTGAGACCTAGGTATTAGAACGGTAATTGGAGAGAAGACCTGGTTAAAAAAGGTTATAAAGCGCTGTAACCTTAATGAGTCTGCTTGTCATAATTACAGTTTATCCACACTGTTATTAGTATTGTTTAATTAATTTTCTTAATTAATCACTCGTATTCATTTATTATGTATTTTTGAGTATTTTAATTGTTATTATTATTCAATATTATTTAAATGGAAAAATCTTACCTTCAGCATTATTCAATGAACAAATCAACACCAGGAAGTAAAACATTAACTTAAACATATTACAAGTTGTCGTCATGCCATCTGAGAGGGAAGTGATAGGCCTATTATTAAGCAACATTGCTTCCTAGGCCTACAATATTATCACAATACATTAACTAGAGCAGTCACTGCATACTTGTGCCAGGAATACCGAACAATACGCAGCCGTTTATGATGGGCAATTCCATTATTATCCACACGGTGCCTACTGAACAATACTCAGGCAAGCTATTCCAGTATTTTCTTTTACGCTGGGTAAATAGAAAATTAAATTTTCGCCACCTTGATTTTGTCCTTTGACTTTTTCTTTCGAAACTTGAATTGTCGCTTCCTTTGGTTATTATGTACCATTTCACTAAATTTTATGATGCTTTGATGATGCATTATCATAAGGAATTAACAAATGGTTGTTGGAACATTTAATTACAAAGAAAAACAAACATAATTTATGTCCAGAAATAGTTCGATTGTCCTAAAATTTGACCTAAAAGTTGTTAAATCCAGAAAATCGTAAATGACTTGGGACTGAGATAAACATAATGAAAATTCAGATAAAAAAAAAACTGAATGAGGTAAAAGAAGAAGAAAACCCCAAAACTATAAACGCTGCAGATGATCTTATGAAAGTGTTTGAATGAAACAGAAGCACTTGCACCATTTGATGGCGTTACTCGTCCATTAGGTAATTTAGATATAGTAAGAATATTAGACTAGAAAAAAAATCTGAAAAAAACGAGTTAGGGGGAGTGGAATGTTAGAAGCAATCCACATAGCCAAATATCCTAATTAATCCCTTCTGGTCACCCTAAGCCCTGTTGACACTTGATTTTACTCCTTGTATACAAATGGCGGCCATTTTTCAAAATGGCCGCCAAATTTATCTAAAATGTGCATAAAATTGAAACTAAATAAGCTACAGATATGATTTTGGTATCTAAACTCATAATTTCTAGACAAACAAACTAGACATATAAAAACTACTGTCACTCAAGCCAGAATGGAACATAATTAAAAATAGGTGTTTATTTGTTTAAAAATAATCGCAAAATATGCTTACTTAAAATGTACATAAAATAAGAACGAGTATATAAGCTAGTTTTCTATGTAATCCAGATAGATTTTTGAGCAAAAATAGATTTTATTGACTAATTTTTATCATTTTTACTGCGCTGAATTCAAAAAAGTCATCGGCCGCCATTTTGAATTTCAAGATGGCTGACGCAACACATAAAACATGGTCATGATTGGTGTCAATGGACAGCAGCAGCGGATCCAGGGTGGGGGGCGGTTCAAGGGGTTCGGACGAACTTCCCTCTGTGAAGAAACGTAACAAAATACTATTGGGTCCTTGCTTACAACACGCATTACCAACCGTTTCTCGCGCATCGTGCGGGACGGTCCCGCTTCAAAGTGATTTTGGATGTAACACGCATTTGGAGGAAACACATGCGTGATCTAAAATTTCTCACGCATTTAGGCCATGCATGACGACGAATAATCACGAATTTTTTCGCTTGTGTCCTTGAGCAAGGCACTTTATCTGCATTGCTTCTCTCCACCCAGGAGTATAAATGGGTACCTGGTGGGGTTGCTTGCTCCTGCGCTGAATACAGCAGCAACACTTAGCATGTGGATCTAATGACCAGGGACAGAAGCGCTTCGTATCTGCAAAGAAAGGCGCTATATAAATAAATATGATTAGAT